CTGTTCTCCCGGTGAGGAAGCACTGGGGGGCACAGAGGGTTGTTGTCCCTGCCAGGAGAACACTGTTATTATTGCTAGCTGCTATAGTAGTGCATAAAAATTGGACAGGCTGGTTAGACCTAAGTCGTACAACAATTAAATTGGGTACAATCAGCCTGCCCATAGATGACTTAATCTTGGCTGGTCCCTGCTGAACCAGCCGAGATCCGAACCATCTGTGGCTGGCTTTACAGATAGCTAAAAAGGTAATTGACATCTTGCTGCTGTTTATATCAAGTGGTGCTGGCCCTATAACTATGCGGGCACCATCCAATGGGAGGTTAATCAGCTACAGCTCAAGGAACCCCTAGCAACCTCTGGTTAGGAAAGATAGGCATACTACATCTAGATATCCTATCCTATGATAAGAGACCATAGTGAGATACCCTATACTGATAAGAGACCACAGCTAGATACCCTATTCTATGATAAGAGAGCAAAGCTAGATCCTCTATACTAAGAGACTGTGGTTTAGCACGCCGCAGCGTAAAAGGACTGCTGCTTGACATACTGATCAGCTACACATAATAAGAATATACGTCCAGGCACACTGAAATGCAGCTCATCACATAGCACAATGATAAGAGATTGCAGGCTGGCACACTACACGGTGATGAGACTATAGACTGACACATTGCATAGTAATGAGACTATAGACTGACACATTGCATAGTAATGAGACTATAGACTGACACATTGCATAGTGATGAGACTATAGACTGGCACACTAAATGGTGATGAGACTAAAGACTGGCACACTATACTGTGATGACACTATAGACTATACACTGGCACACTCCATGGTGATGAGACTATAGACTGGCACACTCCATGGTGATGAGACTATAGACTGGCACAGTTCACTGTGATGAGACTATAGACTGGCACACTACACTATGATGAGACTATAGACTGGCACACTACACTGTGATGAGACTATAGACTGACACATTGCATAGTAATGAGACTATAGACTGACACACTGCATAGTGATGAGACTATAGACTGGCACACTAAATTGTGATGAGACTATAGACTGACACATTGCATAGTGATGAGACTATAGACTGGCACACTACACTGTGATGAGACTATAGACTGGCACACTACACTGTGATGAGACTATACACTGGCACACTAAATGGTGATGAGCTAAAGACTGGCACAGTACACTATGCTGAGACTATAGACTGGCACACTACACTGTGATGAGACTATACAACTGGCATGCTCCAGGGTGATGAGACTATAGACTGGCACAGTGCACTGTGATGAGACTATAGACTGGCACACGCTCCATGGTGATGAGACTATAAACTGGCACACTGCATGGTGATGAGACTATAGACTGGCACAGTACACCGTGATGAGACTAAAGACTGGCACACTACACTGTGATGAGACTATACACTGGCACACTACACTGTGATGAGACTATAGACTGGCACGCTCCATGGTGATGAGACTACAGACTGGCACACTACACGGTGATGAGACTATAGACTGACACATTGCATAGTAATGAGACTATAGACTGACACACTGCATAGTGATGAGACTATAGACTGGCACACTAAATTGTGATGAGACTATATGACTGACACATTGCATAGTGATGAGACTATAGACTGGCACACTACACTGTGATGAGACTATAGACTGGCACACTGCATGGTGATGAGACTATAGACTGGCACACTACACTGTAATGAGACTATAGACTGGCACGGTACACTATGCTGAGACTATAGACTGGCACACTGCATTTTGATAAGGGATTGAGGCATGGCACACAGTACAGTAATATTTGTCTCACTGCACAGTGATAAGAAACTGTTGCAGCCTTTATCAACCTTTTTACCCCGAATGAATCCTGGACATTTTTTTCAAGGCTTGTCGAACCCCTGCTAAAGCCAGTTCAGTGGACTAATAAGATCGTTGGTATTATGTTGCTGGCTCTGCTAAGTGGTGTTGTTCTCAGAACTATGCAGGCACCATCAGATGGGAGGTCAATGAGACATACAGTAGCTCAAAGAACCTCTAGCAAGCTCTGAAGGAACGCTACAGTTTAGATGGAGCGCTTGTTGAGAATGTCTGGATTATAGATGGGCACACTCCCCACTGTGATAAGAGACTACAGACTGGCACACTCCCCACTGTGATAAGAGACTACAGACTGGCACACAGCCCTGTGATAAGAGACTACAGACTGGCACACAGCCCTGTGATAAGAGACTACAGACTGGCACACAGCCCTGTGATAAGAGACTGCAGCATAGTAGACAGCCCTGTGATAAGAGACTACAGACTGGCACACAGAATTTCGATGAAAGAATGCAGCCTGGTACATTGCTTGGTGACAAAGAAACCACAGCTTGACACGCAGCAATGTGATAAGACACTGCAGACTGGCACACAGCACTGTGATAGGAGACTGAAGCTTGGCACACAGCACTGTTATCAGAGACTGCAGACTGGCACACAGCACTGTGACTAACACACACTGTGATGGTTAGCACTTTCGCCTGGCAATACTGGGGTCGTTGGTTCGAATCCCAGCCACGGCACCTCCTGCCTGCAGTTTGCATGTTATCCCTGTGCCTGCGTGGGTATCCGGGTACTCCGGTTTCCTCCTACGCTCCAAAGACATGCTGGTAGGTTAATTGGATCCTGTCTAAATTGGCCCTTGTATATGAATGTGAGTTAGGGACCTTAGATTGTACGCCCCTTGAGGGTTATGGACTGATGTGAATGTACAATATATATGTAAAGCGCTGTGTAAATTGACGGCACTATATAAGTACCTGAAATAAATAAATATAGACTGGCACACAGCACTGTGATCAGAAACTGCAAACTGGCACACAGCACTATGATAAGAGACTATAGACTGGTACACAGCACTGTGATCAGAGACTGCAGACTGGCACACAGCACTGTGATCAGAGACTGCTGACTGGCACACAGCACTGTGATCAGAGACTGCAGATTGGCACACAGCATTGTGATCAGAGACTGCAGACTGGCACACAGCACTGTGATAAGAGACTACAGACTGGCACACAGCACTGTGATCAGAGACTGCAAACTGGCACACAGCACTGTGATCAGAGACTACAGATTGGCACACAGCACTGTGATCAGAGACTGCAAACTGGCACACAGCACTGTTATCAGAGACTACAGACTGGCACACAGTCCTGTGATCAGAGACTACAGATTGGCACACAGCCCTGTGATAAGAGACTACAGACTTGTAATATGGGATGTTAAAGTGAGCGCAACTAAATGCCAAAAAATGTATAAATGTGTGTACACAAAAGCGTATACACAGACAATATAACTGAGCAGCTGATACACCGAAAAGGTAACCAAATAAAACCTCCAATCAAACATATGTGTTAAAATAAAATGGACAGCCGGGAAAATGGCGGCCCGCATTAGGCAGAATTGCCATTCACATTTATAAATAGCACAGAGGAAGATGTCTGAATCAGCCCTGGACCCTATGAATATGTGCATCGCACGAAACGCGTCAGGGGGCAGTAGCAGCAGGACATCTAACTACTTGAGGAATACATATGGTCAGTAAACTTTTTGTTTAATCCTTCTATGTACCCCATACCAACCAACCCTGAATAAAGGCATCTAAAGCAGTATCACGCTATGAGGTCTCTTATTGGGCACTCTGTATGAGTGCCATCATTCGCAGTGCCCATTTGGAGGATTCAGGACCCTGATGGTGATACCTGGTAACGGTTTCGGATGACCTTGCTTCCGCGGAGCCGGGATGGTAATCTGGGTACAATCTGATCTGGGATCTGATGATCGTTTCATGGCCTGGTGACGCAGGATTACATATTGCGTGTATTAAACGCACATCTGGTGAGTGCGTTTTTCACCTATTTGTGTGAACACACCTATCATCACACCTTGGATCAGGACGTCCACTCACCTTGAATTAGGATCCTGTATGATCCGCACTATTATATAGAACTTTTATATTCATTGATCACCCCTAGAGTGATATCACGCATGTGTATATATATTGTGTGTATAAACTGTGCTCTAGTATTCAGCGCTGCACCATTTTATTTTAACACATAAGAGACTACAGACTGGCACACAGTCCTGTGATCAGAGACTGCAAACTGGCACACAGCACTGTGATCAGAGACTACAGATTGGCACACAGCACTGTGATCAGAGACTAAAGATTGGCACACAGCATTGTGATCAGAGACTGCAATGTTATACACTGTATATTTGGGTGATGACCCCCAGCTCCACAGTCTGCATGCAGCGCCTTGTTAGACAAGAAGCCAAGGGGTTATTTAATAATACAGAGCCCAAGAAATGAAAAAACAAGTAAAGCAATTATTGTGAGGAACCAGAGACGGCCATTAAAGAGCAGAATGAGTCGAGAGGGAGCAGAAGGCGGCGAGTGAGCGCGCTTGCAGCCCGATACAATACGGAACACACAGAGTTATCCATCACATTCATGAAGACTGGAGAGAACATTACACTGTCTCTCTGCCTGTGTATAGATTTTCTAAAATGCTCCATATATTCCAAAGAGGTCTGTGGAGGAAGAGAAAACAGACCGCTTGAACCACAACCCCCGGCTACCAGACGCTTACAATGGAGGTTATTTGAAATTAAAAATAAAAGTTGCGTCTTAGAGTCCATTTGGCGGGACACGCGGAGGAGATGAAGCATGTCACATTCTTTGCCCATTTCAAAATCCGATATTTCCACAAAGGGCACGAGCAGAAATTACAAGAATGGCCAAAAGTTGTGCAAGGGGTTAAAGGCCCACTACAGAGAAAAATATTGCATTCTGGTGTCTATATGGGGTTAATACCTATATTGATAGTATTCTGTACATAAATGTCTTTTTGTATTTCAGATGATTTTATTTATATTTTAGGCCTGTAGAATAGCTAAACCCTGCATTACAGCCAGGGGCGGACTGACAAATCATGGGGCCCCCGGGCAATAGGGGATCATGGGGCCCCTGTGTCCTTGCCCAAACTCAAAAAAGTCTATGAAAAAGGTACCAGGGGCATCTCATGGGGCCCCCTACTGACCTCGGACCCTTGGGCAGTGCCCGAGTTTCCAAATGGACAGTCCGCCCCTGATTACAGCAAGGACCCTGGAGAATAAAATGGTGGTAATTGCACATTTTTATGTTATACAAGTACAACTGGTTGGTTATCAAATGTACATGGGCAGGGCTTTAGGGCAGGAAGACTCCACTGTCAAACACTCTTACGCACCTTATTAGTCTCCCAGTTACCTACAGCACTAGAAGCACTGCCTGACGGGGCGGGTAAGATTGTTTGAGTGACAGTGACTTCTCCTGTTCTTACAATCCATGGCAGAGCAGACCAGTCCAGTACAGGCTGTTCAGATAAAGAGTTAAATCAGTATACACCTGGAGCATGTGCAAAAGTATTAACAACCCAAGGCATAGGTCTTGCCATCACCCGGGCCATTTAGAGAACAGAGTAAGCCGTAGACACCCAGAACTTGCATACAAGCAGTTGCAACCCAGGGCACAGGATTGGCCAACCACCATCAGAGAACAGAGTAAGCCGTAGACACCCAGAACTTGCATACAAGCAGTTGCAATACGGCACAGGATTGACCCACCACCATCAGAGAGAGCAGAGTAAGCGGTAGACACCCAGAACTTGCATACAAGCAGTTGCAAGACAGGGCACAGGATTGTCCCACCACCATCAGAGAACAGAGTAAGCTGTAGACACTCAGAGTGGAAACCCAAGGCACAGATTTCGCCCCACTACCTGGGGTGTTTAGAGAGCAGACACCTGGAGCATGTGCAAAAGTGGTGGCAACCCAAGGCACAGGTCTTGCCGGCCAGCTGGGCCATTGGAAGAACATAGTAAGTCATAGACTCTTGGTGCATGCACACAAGCAGTGGCAACACAGGACATGGGATTGGTCGACCACCATCAGAGAACAGAGTGAGCTGTAGACACCCAGAACTTGCGTACAAGCAGTTGCAAAACAGGGCACAGGATTGGCCCACCACCATCAGAGAGCAGAGTGAGCTGTAGACACCCAGAACTTGCATACAAGCAGTTCAACACAGGGCACAGGATTGGCCCACCACCATCAAAGAACAGAGTGAGCTGTAGACACCCAGAACTTGCATACAAGCAGTTGCAAGGGCACAGGATTGGCCCACCACCATCAGAGAACAGAGTAAGCCGTAGACACCCAGAACTTGCATACAAGCAGTTGCAACACAATGCACAGGATTGGCCCACCACCATCAGAGAACAGAGTAAGCCGTAGACACCCAGAACTTGCATACAAGCAGTTGCAACACAGGGCACAGGATTGGCCCACCACCATCAGAGAACAGAGTAAGCTGTAGACACTCAGAGTGGAATCCCAAGGCACAGATTTCGTCCCACTACCTGGGCTGTTTAGAGAGCAGACACCTGGAGCATGTGCACAAGTGGTGGCAACCCAAGGCACAGGTCTTGCCGGCCAGCTGGGCCATTGGGAGAACAAAGTAAGCCATAGACTCTTGGTGCATGCACACAAGCAGTGGCAACACAGGACATGGGATTGGTCCACCACCCAGGCTGTTCAGAGTGCAAAGTAAACCGTAGGACACCTTGAGCGGTAGCACAGGGCCAACCAACTACCTGGGGCATATAGGGAATGGAGTAAGCCATAAACACCTGTACTATGCACACAAGATGAGCTTACAGATTGTTGCTATTGCCACCAATCTAGAGGAAGCCAATGCCAGATTTATGGGTATTTTCATATAAATATAATTTATTTAAAAAAATAAAAGGCACACAGTGATCTACCCGATTATTGCAGAGAATATAATGCTTTTTTGGAAGCTTTACTGAATTTGAAAGGCATAGTATATATTTAAAAATGCAGTATATCTCTGCAATACATGCACATTCTCCATGTTTTGTCCATTTAAGGACCCTGAAAGTGCAGAAATATAACTGGTCATCTGCCATAAATGCTCCCAGCCTGTCCTGTTGTGGGCTGACAGCACACAGCAATTGTGTGGACTGCGTGGTATCAGCCCTGCTTAGTTTCTTTTGCTAAACTACCCAACCAAACCCACTGTCCTCATCTCTAAAAGTATAGACACTACTTGATCTTTAGTCCTAAAGAAAGAAAATGCTAAAACATTCTTTGGGATAACAAGGGCAGAGAGAGGACTGGACAAAGGAATGCTCTGAGTTACAGGCAAAACCAAATACACGCCTTCCATAGAATCTTAAACTAAACAAAATGGAGCAAATATAAGAACTTCATTATTAGGGATTACATATACTCTAAAACTGGTCTCCGGGCAAACATGAAATTCTTCTTCACCTTTCTGGAAACTTCATATTTTCTGCAAGTATTCTCATTTCTTCTTCTGTCATTCTTTTTTGGATAACTGTCTATTTTTTTATTCTTTGTTTAATAAATCCACTGATACAGCAAAAATCAGTCCGTAATACGGTGATGTAAAAGAAAATTATAATTCTGTTCATGAACTTGATGGGGACCCTGATGTAAGGGGGCTCTGATGGGGAATCTCATGTAAGGGAGCAATCTGATGGGGATCCTGGTGTAAGGGAGCTCTGATGGGGAATCTCATGTAAGGGGGCTCTGATGAGGAATCTCATGTAAAGGAGCAATCTGATGGGGACCATGGTGTAAGGGAGCTCTGATGGGGAATCTCATGTAAGGGGGCTTTGATGGGGACCCTGATGTAAGGGGGAAATCTGATGGGGACCCTGGTGTAAGGAAGCTCTGATGGGGACCCTGCTGTAGGGTCAGCTCTGATGGGGACCCTGAAGTAAAGGGGGGAATCTAATGGGCACCCTGATGTAAGGGGTAAATTCTGATGGGGACCCTGATGTAATGGGGCTGTAATGCAGACCCTGATGTAAGGGGTGAATCTGATGGGGACCCTGATGTAAGGGGGCACTGATGGGGGCCCAGATGTAGAGGTCACTTATGGGGATCCTGATGTAAAGGAAAAATCTGATGCAGATCTGGATGTAAGGGGGGAATCTGATGTAGGGGGTCAGCTCTGATGCATACCCTGATTTAAAGTGGGTAATCTGATGGGGAACCTGATGTAAGCTGGGTTCTGATGGGGACCCTGATGTAAGGGGGGCTCTGATGGGGACCCTGATGTAAGGGGGGCTCTGACGAGGACCCCGATGTAAGGGGAGCTCCGATGGGGACCCTGATGTAATGGGGGCTCTGATGGGGACCCTGATGTAAGGGGGGCTCTGACGAGGATCCCCGATGTAAGGGGAGCTCCGATGGGGACCCTGATGTAATGGGGGCTCTGATGGGGACCCTGATGTAAGGGGTGAATCTGATGGGGACCACTGTTTTCAGGGTGAACCCCTTAGGTGGACTCTGATGCAGACCCTGATGTAAGGGGAGAATCTGATGGGGACCCTTGTTATAAAAGATGACTCCTAAGGTAGACTCTGATGTAAGGGGGCTCTGATGGGGACCCTGATGTAAGAGGGGAATCTGATGGGAACCCTGATGTAAGGGAGGAATCTGATGGGACCTCGTTGTAAGGTCCTAGGGTGGACTCTACTATAAGGGGTCTCTGATGCAGATGCAGGGGAGAATCTGATGGGGACCCCTGTTATAAGGGAGGACTCCTAAGGTGGACTCTGATGTAAGGGGGCTCTGATGGGGACCGACCCTGATGTAAGGGGTGAATCTGATGGGGACCCCTGTTGTAAGGGAGGACTCCTAAGGTGGACTCTGATGTAAGGGGGCTCTGATGGGGACCGACCCTGATGTAAGGGGTGAATCTGATGGGGACCCTGTTGTAAGGGTGGACTCCTAGGGTGGACTCTAATATAAGGTGGCTCTGATGCAAACCCGGATGTAAGAGAAGAATCTGATGGAGACCCCTGTTATAAGGGATACCCCTCATCTAAAATGTAGGATGTGCTTCCTTTATCTATGATACATAAGGAACATTGAGCAGATATGATCTACAGTTGTAAACCATTCCAGACACACGCCTGTCACTGGAGCATGTGCATGTAGATAGGAAGTGGCTTCAATCAGGCCATAGGAGATCAGCAGCACTGAGATTCAATGCAGTATATAAAAGAAAACAGTAAAAACAGTAATGTATGAAAAAAGGAAATCTGTATGGTGCACAGTCCTTTAGAAACATCACCCAGTCATAGCTCAGATTTGTTTTAAATGGAGATGAAATTACACAGACTATTCAAGACATAGTAGCAAAACACAGCAGAAAACTTGCAGTCTACAGCCTCTAACACACCGCCTGCTGTCTACAAGTGGTAAATATGAAATACTTATATGTAATATCTTAGTGACCTCATTTTGAATGATTACAATATATTTTTCTAAACTCTGCACGAAGGAAAAATGCACATAAAAATTTCCTTAAAATGTAGGAATGGTAAATGGTAAAATACATAAATAAATGGAACGCTGAACAACCATATCACACCTTTTAAAATAAATCTCTGGCCTGCTTTATGCTTTCTACATTTCTTCCTTTGCTTGTGGCCTTTTACTCTGTAGATTATCTCCTCTCCTGTCAGTAATGAATGCTTGTGAATGCCATTTCTACCTCCCTCATTCCTCTTCTCATGCTGAACCTCTTTTCTCAGTCTCCTTTTCTGCATTATCATTTAATTTAAACTCTCCGTGCTTCAGATGCTGCGGAAACCTGAAGTTCTCAAAAACGCGCCTCTAGTTCTCCTGTCGCTTCCACTTTCAACCATTTTAGGTAACAATTACGTTATGAAATTCTGAAACTCTCTAGCTGAAAAAAATCTCTAATTCCCAACACTTATGGACATATAAGACAGTTCAGTTGTTTGCATACATCATAACAACCAATCAGAGTTCACCTGATTCATCAGAACACTAGGGGCTCATTCATATTGCATGCCACGTTCTGCATATTGCTACATTTCTCTGCACAAGTATTACCATACTTTCAATAGGACCTGCTTACACTGTGTGGGGCAGTTAAGAAAAAAAATCTGCCTGCAGCATTTTGGGTGCGTTGACCTGTGCACAAGTCAATTCAAACACGTCAATTTAATAAATCTAAAACACAGA